CAAACAGAAACTAACGCATTCATAGTCATTCACAGCATCGGGAGCAAATCTGGGTTCAGTATCTTGCCACATGTCAAAGTATCCTTGAGAAAAATACTGAACCCTGAATTGCTCCCAATGCTATGCATCTGTGTGTAAATGTGTATGACTGCGCTAGTTTCTGTTGGATACGTTTTGCCATTACTGAGTGAATGCGTGTCAAAGGGTACGTAGTCTAAATGTGCTTTGAGTAGGCGCCCGGTTAGCTCAGTGGGTAGAGCTGGCGATCCATGTACCGAGGCTGAGTCCAGGGTTCAAAACCGACCTGTGGCCTTTTAGTTTAGTTGTTGCTGTGCGTCTCTGTCTCTGTCCTTCTCTTTTGGATGCAGAACTTTAATTTATTTATTTATTTACAGTTTCACCCGTACTTTGTTTCAATAAACTTGTTGGAAACAACATAATGGTCTTCAGAGTCATGATTATGGAAGGGTGTTTAGCCGCCTGTATACACCCTGTGTATTGAGGACCTCACAGACCTGTTGTCATAAACCGCGGGCTTGATGTGAGATTTACACACTTTGAATCACATACCAAACTAAACTTAAACTTAGCTATACAAGTCTAAGTAGCAGTGACATATTACTAGCATTAAATATGGATTCCAACTACACCCCTTTTTAAAAAACACCATTTATGCCAATCCTTGCCAAGAGATTATAGCTAACCAGTGAAGTTTAACAGTAACAAACTGATTAATAATTAAGCTTCAGGCTGACTCACACGGATCGGCTAATGCTCTTACAGAGTCAGAGAAGCTCATAAATAGGAGAACGCTGGAAGCCTATAAGAAGTCTAGACATTCTGGAAGATTGGAATCAACATGTTGGACAGTCTCACTACAGGTCTGAACCTTCTTTAACTTCTATGCTCATAGGCTGTTTGGACAACTGTTTTTTTTTTTTTTTTACAACAACAGGCTTTATGGCACATACAAGGTAGACTATACTTTCAAGAACATGAAGACATGGACGTAGGGGAAAGCAAAAATACAAACTATAAATGACACAGATAACTTAATGTGTTTAAACAGCGAATTCAGCAACTCTTAACGGGACTGAGCATTACAGTCTGCCTGTATTATCATTTTACCTTCAGTGTGGGCAGACAGACATGCTGAACTTTGATATGAGGACCTATTGGCCAATGGATGTAATAAAGGCCACATAGGTGGTCAAAAACATCTTGAAGTGCCTGTTTAAACTTTGTATTATCTACAGTATGCAGATAGTTTCAATTACATTTCCAAATGTTTTCAGATCCCCAGACCTCTGCTAACACCCCAATATAATGGAGGTGAAGCATTGTGCTATGAATCATCCAACACGGATAACATCTAACTTCAGCCCATACTGCAACTATTGTTTATTATTACGTATGGTCTAGACCTGGGGCCCGTTGCACAAAACCAAGATAAGGGATTAAGCCGGGATATGTTGGTTATCCTGGCTGAATTTATCCGTGATCTGGTTGCACAAAAGCGGCATAGGGGGCAGTAGGATATGTTATGGTATAAGTTACCATGGAGATTTATTCTGTGGAGCTAGCCTGGTCTGGAACAGGCTAAGTTCCAGGATCTATTTAATCTCATCCCTTATCTCAGTCAGCAGTCACCACAAAAGGAAACCAATAGTTATTCCACTGCCCACTACACATTGTTATCACATATAGACCCACTGTCATTATTTAAACGTTTGTGACCATTAATTGCAATCATTTTGGATAAATTATGATTTTAGATGATGTTGCTATCATTAGATAATTTACAGTTTCCCATAGACTATAAGGCTATATATAAAATGACGAAATATTAGGGCCACAGAGAAAAAATAAAAATTCAGACTTCGAGAATAAAGTCATAAATTTACGAGAATAAAGTCATAATATTGTAACCCGTTGTTTTAGAGAAGAGTTGTTAAAATGAGGGCTGTGGAGCATTTTGTGGAATTGTACTTCAGTTTAGGTTTCACAAACAAGGAGATTCTTAATCTTTTGGCACGTCAGCATCACATTGTCATAAGTATCAGGACTTCAAAAAGAATATGCAAGAAAATGCATCTTTTCCGCAGAATGAACTAGTCTAGAACTCAGTCCAGTCTTATGACTTTTCCCCCCCCTTTCTTCCTCAGTGTGGCCCTAATACTCCGTCGTATAAAATACACATCCCATATAAATATAAATACACATCAAAGTGTAACATTATGTTCCTTTATTGAATAAGGATAAAGCAAAAGAGGTAAACCATCAGCTCCTTTCCAAACTGAAGTCAGTGACTCTACAAGATGGAAAGCACAGAATCAAAGCATATTATACAACACAAGGATAAATACACATTTAAAGGTCTGTATAAAATACACCCCGTATGTCTGAAACTGAAATAAATGCAGGACAAATCCATACACATCAAATGAACAGACAAATGAATGGATGCAGTAGCCTCCCTGCAAGCTTGTATACACAGTATACAGCACAATCATAATAAGAGGCCAAATCAATTTAAATTACAAAAAAATAAAAAATAAAAACAAATTCCTCTGCCACTGCAGGACATATTTAACTTACATTTAAAGCATGCATATTAACTAAAATAATTTAACACATATTGGTCCCTCACCAGCCGACCACATTGCAGGATTGTCCCAGTCCATGGCTGGTGGCACTCTGGGGGCCCTC